CTCAGGTCACTTACTCTTTCTGTGCCTTAATTTACCCGCATCATCATCCTGATTATAATAATAGTAATCGCCAGCTACATAAAACATTATGTGGCCAATTTACAAGTGACACTCGTAAGCCGCTCTGGGAAACTCGGTAGGAAGAATCGTGTAAAAATATAAAGAGTAATGACGATTGCTGTTTTATTTAAAATGTATTTAGGCTGATTCAGAGCAAGGCGCAGCGCTGGCAGCGGCTCTCGAGCGCGCCCGGCGCCGCCGGGATTCCCTTCGCACGGGAAACCGGAGCGGTGGGAGAGCAGGGCAAAAGGCCCTGCCGGCGTCCTGGGGGAAATCATTCTGCTCCAAGGGGTAAGGAGAAGCACGTGTGCTTTTCAGAGTTAGCCAGACGTTCAGCCCGGAGAAAATCCACCGCCGTGGCCGGGCTCTACCTTTCTTGTGCCGGGGCTCCAGCAGAGCCCCCCGCATGGATATTGAATTGCATCAGTTCAAAGATCCCTCCGTGAGCGGACGGAGAGAAAGCTCCTTCCAGACTTCTTTAACAATTTGCATTTTTTATTGTAACCGTGCTCAGTCCTTTCTCTGAAGCGTTCGTGTTTTTAATGATGTACATGCATGTACATAAAGAAAATACTAACCTTCATGCTGTATGTTCCTACAGATGAGGCTGAGGATGAGGATAATATTGAGATAGATACTAACGAGGAGGTGCCCGAATGCTCTCTTTCTGGAGGTGGAGATGAGCTTACTAACCTAGAAAATGACCTTGATTCAACGGGTAATTTAAATAATGGCTATTTTGTGTATTTTGCATGACTAACACGCCATCGTCATCAGTGCTGATGTGCTGCTTCTCTCTTTCGTAATTTTCAACTATTAATTTGTGCCTTTCCAGACCTTTTTTACCCCTGCCTCCATTCTCTGTGAACATTTTGCCTTCCTGCTTGCTTTTGGTTGCAATGGAGAATAAGTAACGCAGCGAGGAGTCCCCCTGAGAGGCAGATTTACCTGCTTGGGGTGTCCCAGGCTCGCTGAGCCCCTATGATGGCCCTGCCACCATGAGCCCTGTCCCTGGGCAACACGGGGCGTTCACTGCCAAGGTTTGGGGTCACTGCAAGCTGGATGGAGTCACAGCTCCCTGGAGAAGCCCTGTGCACCTAGGGCAGCCGTGAGAAAGAGGGGGCAAAAGCCTGCTTTTCCTGGCATCCTCTGCCTCGCTTCTGCCCATGCCAAGTGAATATATTAAACCAACACCCTTGATTTAGTATTTGCTCCTTGTAAATTAACCTGCCAGCAACATTTATACCGCTTTTCTTGCCCTCAGTCGCCTTAGCGAGCTAGTCTTTTCTTCCGTGAGAAAATCTGGGATCATATCCTTTTTGTTTGTTTGTTTCTTTGGGCATTTCCAAACACCTAAGGAAATATATTTAGTGTTTCCAGCATGTAGCTTAAGCTCATTTAGAGCAGAATCCTGTCCAATGATTTTCCAATAAATACCGGTTCATTTTAGGAGAGAAAGAAAATCGGTAAATGAATATTCCTGTCACATAGCCCCAATGACTTGACAGCATTTATTTCCATGGGCCTTTTTTTCCTGAGAGGTACCTTCTCAGGGATACTAAACCCCTACCAACACTTCATCCATGCCATGGGAAGACATCCTGGAAAGAAAAGGGGGAAGCCGCTGTGAAGTTCAGTTTGCACGTTAGGTGGGAGGACAAATATCACTGTTCAAACAAATGAGCAAGAGGACGGACATCAGTGTTCACAGTTTTTAGTGGATTCCTGCCAATTCGGAGCAAGTTCTAGTGAAGGCTGAGTCTCTCGGGGACATTAAATGCAAAGGTGTAAGGGCCTTTGCACCTTTGGTCTCGCTACTGACTGCGTTAGTTAATTTATCCCCTACTGAACGTTAATTCCCTCCAACTCCCCCATGAAAACTTGCCCTAAGTTGCCGGCGTTAAATACGGCCTCTGTATTTGCTGAGGCTGCCACAGGCTGCCGCGAACGCAGCTGGTAAAACGTGACCCTCTTATATCACCGTCGTTACGTGATGTTTGTGCAGAAGCCCGCGAGAACGTGCGTGTCCCGACACGCGCGCCGCAATTACGGACACCCCGGCTGGGTGTGCCGGAGCGCGGGGCGCCTGTCCTTCGTCATGGCGCGGCCGCGCGCGTCCCCATAGCCGCACCCTGCGTGAGGCAAATGGCGCCGCTCTTTGGGCGCCGCTCCAGATCCCTAGAGCTGACGGGGGTAAAAAGGGCAGTGAACTTCAGCACACTTCGCATCTGTCCCTCAGATGGAGTTATGAAGTGTTTTATGGCCCTCTTGGCTTCGGTGCATTCTATAACTCAGTGTAAAATATCACTAGAAAGCTGCCTCTTTGGATACTGCAGTTGGAAGGCTGAGGAGCTGTGCCAAGGAGCCTTAGGATGAATTAGTAGATCATAAACTCGAGGGGTTATCAGTACTTACACTGTGTGATAAATTGTTACATGTCATGTTAAAATAAATGGCTCTTTGTGTGTGTTTGTATACCGAAGTAGAAGTGTGCATAGCTTGGGAGTAAAATCTCACAAATGTTGTCTAGTTTCTATGTTTTTCATCTGTCTTGAAACATCTGATAGTTTATGCTTGTTTAGACAAGTGCTGCCTTTTTTTAACATATGTTTTTTGGGGAAATTTAGAAAACATCTGTCGATGTAACACGCTTTACATAAATCTACATCAATCTGACCCGCAAAAAAAAAAGAAAAAATTTAGGGGTTTAATTGTTTTTTTCTTCCAGTTTTTACATTTCAGCTTGAAGTGATAGGAAAGGGAAGGAAATCTACCTTTTAAACTGATACATTGTTGTAGCGACTCTGCATTTAAATGCATCTCACTCTGTTGTATGTGGTATTTGCATATTTAGCAGAACAAAACAGTAAGTTGGTGGATTTGAAGCTGAAGAAGCTCCTAGAAGCTCAGCCACAGGTGGCAAATTCACTCTCCAGTGCTGCTCAGAAAGCTGTAACTGATAGCTCAGAGCAAGACATTAAGGTAAGTTTTGATTAATGCTTTTGTCTCAGTACCTGTATGTTCCGATTTCTGTTGTGTACTTCGTGATGAGGAAAATGATTTCTTATCAAATCCTTCACAGCAAGAAATGCAGAAAATCTTCACGGCAGTGCAATTGCATGCTTTGCTGTGCACTAGGCTTTTTCTGTTGATTAATCAACACATTTCCCATTTATTTTTCTGATCTCGATACTGGTAATTGTCTGGCATAATAGTAACAGATAACAAAAATCATCTCTGAGTTATTTCCTGATGAGCTCGTTGCTTAAATGGGAAATGAAGCCCGGGCTCCATTCTGCTTCCCATGAAATCAGCAGCAAAGCTCTCACTGACTCCATAAGAGTAGGATTGGGCTCTCGGGGCTTTGCTCCCCCTCCAAGCCTGACCCCCTGGATTTTCCCCATTAAAATTAAGCCGCATTACGTTTTAAAGACATACATGCCTGGGCACTTGACAACGAGCGGCTCGGAAAAAATAAAGCCATGGGTACGCGGTGCATGCACTCGCTCTGCCTGTTCCTCACATTCACCGCTTTCACGTGGGGCACACACCAACCAATTTGCCCTTTCGTTTTCTTAATTAGGCCCCTTGCGTTCTGACTATTTTTTTTTTTAAATAGCCGGTGTATGTCATTAATATCCCTATGGCTCTGGGGCACTTGCAGTTGGGTATAACTTTTCACCCACCTGCAGTCTGCGGGGAAAGCGCTGCTGACTGAAAGGATTTCCTTCCCCAGATACAGAGATGCTTTGAAGTCCCAAAACAATGACTTTCATTGCTTTTCCCTTACACTGTCGGTTCCTATAAATTGGTGATGAAAGTGTGTGGCAGCAGCAGAGGACTTTCGGTCTCTATCTTTGAACAAAAGGAAGCCTGGATCAAGTCTGATTTTTGCGTTCAATTTAGCTTTCTGCAGTGGATTTAATGCAAAATGAAGCTGGCCCAAGAATAATACAATGGATTGAAAAGGCTAACTGAATTAGTGGGCTTAGAGGAATACATTTGTAAAGTGGCAGAAGTCCCTAGTCATAAAAGGTTTCTTAAAATGGGATTTGCTGGCTAATCACGCTGATATTTTAGCATGTTGCCAGGCCTAAAAAATTAGCCATGTTTGTTTATTTTGGTAAAGACTCTAGTTTAGCCTGTCAAATGGTTATTGTGCTAATAACAGGAAACAGCCTTTTATTTAGCCAGAATCATAGCAGCCTGGTTCCTGCAGCTGAAAAGCCATCCTTATGATATGAGCAATACTTTTTTTTTCAAGCTTAATTCAATAAATGACGCTCAGGGCACCTCCATTAGGGCAATTCGCTATCAGCTAACCTGCAGAGAATGCCATTTCTCTTTACAAAAAAAAAAAAAAGAAAAAGCTTTTCTGCATTAGCTGTATTTTTTTAAGTTACTGCCGCAAAAGGTGCAACTTAACAGCTTCCCTCAGCACCCGCCTTGTGAAGGGAGAGTTCCAAAATGGCATTTCTAAGGAATATATGGTGCCCATCTGTTCGCGGGGAGCTCCGGGCATTGAGTTGGATTTGTTTTTTAATAAAATGCAGTTTACACGTTTATAAATGAAGCATTCTGTGTTTGTGGAAAAGGATAAACTGTTACCTTCCCTGGAGGATTGTGTATCCCCGGCCTCCTTGAGGCTAGAGAATAGGCCATTGGAGAACTCCCTCATTACTGATTGTCTCAATGCAGAGGAAGGGCAAAGTCTTGGTAGCTTTTGATAACCAGTTTCAGCATTCAGCAGGCTTAGCTATTAGTCATGCATCTTAGCCTTTCCCTATTTACTTTCAAAACACTTAATAAAAATAATAAAAGATTAGGTATAAAATGAAATATTTGTTTGGTACACAGCCCCTCGGTATCTGCAGTTTCCACACACTGCAGTGGTTCAGTCTTCTGGGATATTTCATGTTGATAGACCCATTTGAATTTGTTACCAGTATTAACATAGGAAGCCCTGGAAAAGATAATTGTAGTTTCCTTCGCTGTAAAGGGCTTACTTACAAATCTGGCTTTGGAAAGTTATAGCTGATGAAATGCAGTTCAGTGGGGTAGTATTATAATCCTACCTTTTAGCCTTCATCCAGCATTAGTGGTTTATCTCAATGGGCATAAAATTAGAAACTAGTTCTTCTTGTCATACAAGTCTGGGGGACTATACAAAGCGAGAGAATCCTGTGCCGGGCAGCAAGAGGAGCGAAGGGAGGGAGGGCAGCTCAAAGCCCGGTGCTTTTCAGGCGATAGAGATCGTGTTCGGGGGGACGCGACGCGCGCTGCCGCGCGGCACCGGCACACACAACGCTTGACAAATCCTACAAAAGAGCAGTTTCCGTCTAAAAATCGGCGCCGCCAGCAAACGCGGGCGACGGTTAATGGGTCTTGCTGCAGGGTGACGCGGAGTCCGGCGTGAGGTGCCGGGCAGGGAAAAGGCAGCCCTTCCCACCACACGTTCCCAAAAAAGAGAGAGAAAAGTTAATCGCTTTCTGCTTTTCCCTGCAGCCGATACTTGCATCCCGTGTAAGCCGCAGTCTGAGCTGCGAAATTCCCTTTGCACCCCCTGCCTCCCGTTCCCTGGGTGAAACGCACCTTCCCGCTTTGCGCCTTCACTTTTGGGAACAAAAGGCACTCTTGTGTGTCCTGTTTTCCTAGCAGAACGGAGCAGAGGACCATCGTGCTGAGCGCTCGCAGAAGGCGGGCGAGCGCCTCAGAAATCCTGTTGTGTTTGGCAAGGACTCCACCGTCAGAAAAACTCAACTCCAGTCTTTCAGTCAGTATGTGGAGAACAGACCAGGTAGGAGCAAATTTGAGACATGTTTTCCCATCTTATGATTTAATAACATTTAACAATAAATATATTTCAACCTGATAATGTAAGTCCACATTTCAATACATAAATATCAAGCTTTATAATAATTTTACATGTCTTTCCTCTTTTTTCAAGAGATGAAAAGGCAGAGATCAATACAGGAAGATACAAAGAGAGGAAATGAGGAGAAGGCTGCGATAACTGAGACTCAGAGGAAGCCATCAGAAGATGAAGTGCTTAATGTATATTAATTTTTTGTCTGGTTTCATGATTGCTGATAATTCCAAACTGTATGTGGAAATGGTGCCTTTATTTGTTAAAATGAGATGTTAGGTTTTTTAGATGTCAATCTCCAGTGCATTCAAAGCAGAGTGAGAGGGGTGCACTGTTGAATTAGTCTGCAGTGTGGTGATAATTGTCAGATAAAAAAAATGAATTTTTCTGAGTTCCGCAGCCCCAGCTTCCTTGAGACATTTCCATCAGGGCACTTCCCATAAAGAGATTCCAGTATTGATCTACCGGGAGGATTTTAATTATTACAATAGCAGATACCGCAGAGCTGCAGTTAGAGGGAAGAGTCACATGAGACCTGCTAGAATTTCTCAGCCAACCCATTTTGTTGGCTTGGGTTAATGGGTGTTCAACCTTTCCATTATCCAGATCAGCCGTGAATTACTAGCTGAATGATGTTTGCATTAATATAATATATATGGTAATTTCTTCACTTAATTAACGGGGAGGTTCAGCTCAGTAGGGGTATGGGCTGATCATGTGTAAAATTGATTTGTGAGGGAAATATTTGATAGACCGCAGGGAGAAAGCTGGTTTTGATGGACAGCTGCGGGACAGAAGCAGGAAGAACAAGTTTTAACCTGTTTTTTTTTTGCCTAAAAACACAACACGACCCTATGGTGGTGGTTGCTTGTTGCTCTCCACAATTTATCTAAACACATTTGTAGCTTTCACTGAAGCAATCTAGAGCCAAGTGGAGATTTTGCACCGCTCTCCTGCCTGTGCCAAGCCATCTAACTTAGGAACCTTCCAGTTATTTTTAGTGCAGTTGTACTTTTGCAGAGCTGGAAAGGGCTGGCGCAGTACGTTCACATTATATATGCAGATGATCCACATGAACTCTTGGGATATTTCAGCCTGACGCAGCATTTCTTTTCATCTTATAATAACAATTGCTAACCATTATGCATGCTGACATTAGGGAAGTTTTCATACTATTTGCAGTTAATTAGAGTTGATGAAAGGCAGTATATTGCACAGCATCTCAGCTCCCCAGACCGATTTTTTTTCTTCACTTACTTCTCCCAGGTAGTTTTGTTGTTGTTGTTTTGACTCTGTGGCAGGTAGAAGAAGATTTCCCTTGAAATTTGAATTGATACTATTGGCTAGTTTGTGTATGAAAAGATTGATTAATGGGGGCGTATTAAGCTTAAATTCGCACATCCCAAACTTTAAAGTTCTCTTCTTATTGCTACTCCTGGGAGTTCAGTCGTTCTCTTAGTCTTCACATGGTTGTGTCTTTATTTGCAATAATGTGCTGACATGATTAATATTATTAATTGTAACTCACACAGAATATGAAGCTGAATTGGCAATTGCAGGAACATTTACTGAGAAACATTGAAACTGCCTAGGGAAGTATCTGTGGTTCTTACACAGCAACAGGTTGGCCTCCAAGAGGGAAATACACCTCAAAAAAAGAGACTTTTTTTTTTAATCTTCCCAAAGAGCAGTAATTTTAAGTGTTACTTTACAGAGTACAGACAAACTTTGGAAGCAGTTCACCATTTCATTTCCAACTGCACCATTCCCTGAGGGTCTGAAGGGTTATAAATGACCAGGAGCAAAAAGGAGATGGGCTTATTCTGAAGGAGTGATATCTTCTTCCCATCTTTGTATACGAAAGCATACCTCAGAAATGGCATTTCAGCCTTGTCTGCCTCCTGTACTACCCCCATAGAGCCACAATAGTGCAAGAAAGTTGTTGAGAATAACCTGCAGGTGCCCGTTCTCAAACTCCTTCCTCCTACGAGAGCCAAACTGGTGGCCCTCGTTGGACGTATCTGGAGATTCGTGTGGAGATTGAGATGAGATGGAGAAGTGTTTGGATGCAGTGTGAGTTGTGAGCACTGACGCAGCTCTGAGCAGCGAGCGGGTTGGACGGGATTTACCAAATGGGCTTTCCAGGACCGCCCTCCGGCCGGGATTCACCAAGCCGGAGAGGCCGGGTGGAGCTGGGTGGATCATCCCCGAGCGCCTGTGCAGTAGTTTGGGTCCCCGCTTCCCAGGGTAGCAGTCACAGGTACTATAAATGACAGTATTTTTACAGGCCTCATTGCAGCCGGGCAATCTCCTCTAGTAGGAGACAGCCAGAGAGGTGTTACAGTTGGTCCACCAAGTCCTGGTGTTGGGACTGACTCCAAGGAGCTGGAAAGGCGAGGGAGCTCATTTTGGGCTTGTTGGGAATCTCAACCACCCACATTTTAATTGCCTGTAGAGATGCTCGTGCTTTTTCTTGTCCAGTTAGTGCTTTAAAATTGAATGAGGAATGAATGGAAGAGAAATCGCACATTAAATAAGGCCGTATGTGGATTATGCCCCCTTACATTATGGTTTGTTGCAGGAGCTTTAATGTACTTAGAAATAAATTTTAAAAAATTCAGAAAGTCAGCCTGGTAGTTAAAAACTGCAAAATCAACGAGGAGACTCTGAAATGCTTCCTAAAGGAGAGAGAGAGAGAGGAAAAAAAAAAGGGTATGTTTTAATAAACAAATGCTGGCATTTGGCAAGATTGTAAAGTTTATGAAATGTAAGTGTTAGCTTTTTGGTTGTGAGCGTGCTATTTGGCTGTTTAGGTAAGTGCCTTACTAAGTGTTTGTGGAAAAGAAAAATGCAAGTTACAAGTGATGTTTTTTCTTCTTGTTTGTTCTCTTTAACAGAAAGGGTTCAAAGACACCAGTCAGTATGTTGTAGGAGAATTGGCAGCACTAGAGAATGAGCAAAAGCAAATTGACACCCGTGCCGCGCGGGTGGAGAAGCGCCTTCGCTATCTCATGGACACAGGTACGGTGCCCAATTACACTGTAAACAGTTTTGGCAAATTGAGCGTTCACAAACTCTTATAGAGTTTTGGAAGTGTGAATCTTTGAAGCCTGAATGTTCAGCAAAACTGCCTTGAAAATAAAAAGGCTGCGATTTGCAGCCACCTCTCTGGGCCCTGGTGATAAGAGTGCCTTCATGGGAAGTGATAACTTGCCCTGATACCGTGTGAGCCAGCACTATTGAACAGTGTGCTCATCCATGCAGAGTTGGAATACACATCTGTGCCTCATTGATATGCCACTGCTTAAAAAAAAAAAAATGAGGCAGGGGGGAAGTAAAGATCTTCACTGTTCTCCTGATTCAGTGGGGAAAAAAAAGATTTGGCCAGCTAAAGCCATGTACTGCATGAAACAGAGCACAGCACATGGCGGAAGGCTCCATTGACTAGATCACTGAAATTTGAGAATACTATCTGGTTACTGATGCTCCGCAATTATTTTATTTATTTATTTATTTTCAGGAGAGGAGGTTTTAAAAAGTCGGTAGCGCTCGGTGCCGTAGGTGCTGCGGAGGGGATTAAAGCGTCGGGGAGGGTTTTTGTGCAGCGCCCGGTGCAGTGAGAGCAGCGCTCGGGGCTACGTGGGTGCTCCCTCCAATGGTCCTCAGAGCCAGGGGGGTTTCACAGCCCCCGTTTGCACCAGTTTGGGCACTCCAATATTCCAAAGCTAAATGAAACTGTAGTTCCAAGCAGTGCTGTTCCTATCCCTTAGGGAAGAAAGTTTGTGCACTTTATGTTTAATTTATGTTTAAACACTATCTGATGTTAAAAACTCAAAGTTCGCCTTTAGCCAAAGTAACAACTAGATGTAGAAGTAGATTTAAATCCGGTGAGATGTTATTATTGAATACAAAAGAATAGGGTTTATTTAAAGGTCGGTAATTTGAACCGAACTGGCAACATGTGTCCAAATATTAGCGTGTTTTTTTAATGTATTTACTTCCGCATGTGCTCTGGTGGTTTGACTTTTTGAAATTATTTTGCAAGAAAAAAAAAATAACTCAGAAGGAATTTCTCTCCTGCCTGAATGCGTGTATATTAGGACTTCTACCTATACGGTCTTCTGAATACTTCCTCAAATGCGTTTCATGACCTTTAGATGTTTAGCTAGTGAAAATTGTGTATATTACCTGCACGTTCTTGTGTACTTTATGGTATTTGTGACCTCTGCCTTCTGCACGGAGGAATGGCCGTGACGTTGCACGGGTCTGGCGGGAGCTCCGGCACACGTGGACGCGCCAGCTGAGTCCTCTGACAAGTTATTCTCATGGTCTTGATGGTTTCCCGAGTCGTCAGCTTCCTTCCTGGCACATTTGAACAAATGCTTTGACAGTCCTTGCTGAGGATCCTATTTACGCGCTCAGGTTAAAAACCTGGCTTAGGAGAAAGTGTTTGAGGAGTGCAGTTCCCTACCTGCAGTTCACTCCCAGCCTCGGAAGCTGGGATCCACAAACTTTCCCAACCGCAGATCCCATCCGAACTGGGCTCTTGTCTTGTGTCCCGCCTCCCCTGCCAGTCACTATCCCATTTCTCACCCAACAGCATCCCTCTGGCAGCGCCCACAGCTGCTTATGTGGGAAAGTGGTATTAGGAAGTGTCATTTCTATTTTATTCATTTATTTTTTTCAACTAGCTTTAGTGTGATGTGGCCTTGGTGCTGGGAAAAGCCTTACCATGTGTTTGCTGTCCTTCCGAGGTGCTTTTCTGGCAGTTCTTCTCCGCCTGCTCCTTTTCCTGCCCTCCCTGGGCCCTGCTGCAGTCCGTGCTCTCCGGTCTCATTAGCGGCTCCGTCTGCTGGGACGGCCCTTGTTTCCCTTCCCCTCGTCTCCTGATGAGCTAATTCCCGAGCCGGGCAGACAGGCAGTTGGTGCCTCTGCCGTAGTCGCAGCTTTGTCCGGGAGGGTCTTGGTCGTCTTCTCCTGTCTGCGAGATGAACAAAAAGATGAGTCAACAGCAGCTGACCTGCCAGCGCTGCACAGCCCTCCGCCGTCGGGAAAGCCAAGGCTGAGGGAAGGGAGCAACCACAGCCCCAGCGCTACGAAAGCCCTGAAGGGCTGGTGATGATGATCTAGGGGTTTCGCAAATACTCCCCTAGCTGTTGGTACATACCAGAAAGATGAGAAACGCGGTATGTTGCCAGCTCTTGGACTTATACTGAAAGATCTTTTGATGTCTGTTTTTTCTTTTCCTTAAAATGCGAGCTTTAGGAAGCAGGAGGTCACGTGGGCTTACAGAGTCTGCACGCAGAACATAAAGGAGAGGACCCACAAGTGGATTTGTTGTATGTTTCAAACTCTCTTTTAAGCAAATCTCCTTATTTAATCTTGCACTGCTTGGGGCTGGACTATTGGAGAGCCACAGGCAAGCCAGAGTCTGAGCAGCCCTCCGGAGCAGGCTGCTGCGTTCACCAACCTGTGGAGCAGGGGCCCCACTGAGCTGTCCTGTGGACCTTGTGTCCCCATGGGCTTCAGGGCACGTCTTGCATCAGGGTTTTCAGCTTGGTGTCCCCAGGGGGGCTCAAGGTGCTGAAGGGTGAAGGGAACAAGCAGGAGACCCCCCTTACCTTGAAGATTCCCTGCTAATGCCAGCCCAGCCTCGTCGGTCGGGTCCCCGAGGATGGGGAAGGTTGTTTGCTCACCCCCTGTCTGGGCTGGTGCCTAGGGTGGCTTTTCTTCCTCCGCTGTGCTTGGCCCTCTTCCTCCATGGACTTTTACTAGGAGGAAGGCTCTCTTCCCTCTTTCCTCCTCCTCTTTCTCCAGCACAAGAGTGGAGGTTGCCTTTTCCAGCAGGGAGACTCTTGGCTACGGGCCGTTCTGTCCTCTGCAGTGCAGAGTCCTGTCGAGGCAGGAGGGATCGTTGGAGGCTGCAGCTTTCCAAAGCGCCCGGTGCAGCTGTGGGCACTAGCAGGACAACACGTCTCCTGCTCCTGGGCATCACCAGAACAGACGGGAATTTCCTTATGGCACACGAGCAGTAAGAGCAGGTAGTGGTGCAAGGTTGGGGAAATGCGGAAGAATTTGTGATCTTTACCAAAAGGGAAGCAGCTTTGGCAAACCAAGTAGAGACAAGGGACGTTCCTGGTTAAACACCGAGCGTTCCGTGACTTCCTAGGCCCTCGGCTTGCTCTTTAATGAACATTTCTCGTGCTTACGACTGCAGATGAATGCTCCAAAATGCAACGCGCCATGAACTGGGCACGGTGTGCCGTGGCCCGGCAGCGTGTGGCCCCATCCCACGGGCTGGGATGAGGAGCATCCCTTCCCTTGCTGCCCTTCATCCCCAGGGATGCGTCGCCGTGGGCCAGGGGGGCTGAGCAGAGGTTCAGGCCCTTGGCCAAGGGGAGCTCCTATCTGCAGAGTTTGGCAGGGAGCGATCTCGGCGTGGACAAAGCTTTGCATTCCCAGCACCAGCACCTCGTGCTTTGACTAGAAACACTTTCCTACAAGGTGTGGAAAAAATACGAGTTATTAAAATCACCAGCGTGCGGATTTCCATTTGAATGTGACTAGTCACACT